CTAGGGGGGCAGGAAAATAAAAAAGCTTCTCGATGACTGCTGAGATCTTTAACAAAGGAAATCCATGGCTTGGATGCAGTATTTATTTAAGCACCATTTAAGCACCTGTCTCCTGGTTCATGGACAGAACACTCTGGGGAGCTAAAAACCTTTCTTCGTATGGCTGAAAGTGATGTTAATTAGACATGCTGCTTAGGCTTTCATTGCAATTTAATATGCTGAATGATAAGGCACTTGCCCATGATAGATCACTTTGTTCCTCCTGTGGTACTGCTGCCCAAGTGTGGGGAATCATGTTCCATTGAATTGGGTGCCTCTGATAGTCATGTACAGTCAATGATTATTAAGCCTATTGATTCCATGGATTCACATAGTCACAGAACCACAGAATATGCTGAGCTGGCAGGGAGCCACAAGGATCATCGAGTCCAACTCCTGGCCCTGCACAGGACCATCCCCAAGAGTCACACCATGTGCCTGAGAGTATCATCCAAATATTTCTTGAGCTCTGTCAGGCTTGGTGCTGTCACCACTGCCCTGGGGAGCCTGTTCCAGTGCCCAACCACCCCCTGTGTGAGGAACTTTTTCCTAATTTCCAACCTAAACCTTCCCTGACATAACTTCAGGTCATTCCCTCAGGTCCTATCACTGGTCACCAGGGAGAAGAGTTCAGTGCCTGCCCCTCTTCTTCTCCTCAGGAGGAGGTTGTAACTGCAATGAGGTCTCCCCTCAGTCTCCTCTTCTCCAGGCTGAACAAGCCAAGTGCCCTCAGTCACTCCTCACACAGCTTCCCATCAAGGCCCTTCCCCCTCCTCTGTAATGTCTTAATGTCTTTCTTATATTGTGGTGACCAAAATTGTCACAATATTCAATATTCATGTCAGACCTGAGCTTCTTGTGCTGACTCAGTGTTGGATCACCTGAAAATTGTCATTACTGAAGTTGGACTGTCAAGTTCTGAGGTGAGGCTTCAGAGCCCAGAGGAAGACAGAAAGGCAGGTGGCCTTGTGGTCCATCCAGCTGGCAGGAATAGTGGCCTCAGTCGATAGCAATGGCCTTTTCCCCAACAGTGGCACATTCAGAAGCTGACACTCTCCTTTCGGATATCAAATATGTTTGCAGTTTATGTACGATGACACCTGCAGTGCCTTTTGTTTCCTGGCAGTCTGCAAAGTTGTGTTTTCTTTGATGTCCTCTAATATGCAATATGTTTGACTGATCAACCACAAGACTTTTCAAATACTTGTAAAACTGGTTGGTGCTTAAGTCCACTTAAACTAAATTCACAACCAATCTGTCCTTTGTGAGCCTAGAAATTTTCTGTTGACTCCAGCAGGCATGAGGAGAACAGCATCTGCCTCTACATTTTTGTTTTTCCAACTCCATCACTGGCCACAAGAGACCTCTGATTTGTGAAACTTGAGGACCTTCAATTTTTTAAGCATTGCTCGTGACCACTGAAAACCAAAAAGCTGAATTTCATGTAAAGATAAATCAAGGTAGAAGTAAATAAAAAGGTGGCATCAAATCTTTTATTTTTACAGTAGCCGTAGATTGTAGATATATACTTTAAAGACAAGTTTGACTTTGCATAAAACAAGGTGAAGTGTTACAGTCATACCTTCAGTAGAGTGAGACTGTGGGTTTTACAGACTTTAGGTGATAGAGAATCTGCCATATCCTCAGGTGAACTCTCCAGCATTAAAAATATGCAGCTTATCTGCAGTCAGAACTTGTCCAGCTCGAGCTACCAGCCTGTGAAGTGTTATGCATTTGTATGTTAAATTAAGGAGCCCTCTGTCCTTATATATATTATTTCCCAGAATTTCTATTTGCAGCTTTTTTCACTCCCTGCTTTTACATTTCATTACTGCTCTGCTGCAAGAGTTCAAAGTTTCCAAATGAAAGTCCTGTGTGATTCCAGGGCACGATGCTCTCCTAGTCCAGGCTGTTTGCAGTATGGGACAGGGAAAGGGAAATGCAAGCAAAACTGCCATCAATACTGGATGGCAGCTTTAACAATTCCCTCCTCCCACTCACCTCCAATTATGGTTTATATCCATGTCTTTTCACCAGGGCCCTATATCCAAGCAGTTTGCCATTCTCTGATATTAACACTTGAAGTTTTAATGAGTACAGGCAAAGGAGGATGCTTAGCAACAATACAGACAGTACAACAAATACAGGATAAGCAGTTTGAGATTAGGTTTTAATGCCATCTTAATGACAACACCAGGATCTACTTATTGCTTTGTGTAACTATGCCACTAACACAGATGCTGCAGTGAATATGCACTATTGGGGGTTTCCACCTTGGGAAGTGGGATTTTGGAAGCAATTGGGACAAAGGGAAAGGAAGAGATGACATTACATGGTGTCAGGACCTAATTTCTTCTGAGCAACATGTTCGGTCTGCTCAAGCAGTTTGATGGTAAGGTCAAAGCACCCTCACTTGCGTTAATTTCACAGAATTTCTCTTGTTGCCAACAGACTGGAGAATTACAGCAGAGGTACTGGCACTGTTCATTGAAGATTACATTTTTGTGCATTCTTTAACCCCCTTTTTAGCTTCATTCACTCTCAGGAATGACAGGTATATTATTAAAAGATATGACTAGGTTTCAGAAATGGTGTTTCTGGTTTTTCAAGAGAGGATTAGTTAAGCAAAGCGTGTGAAACCTGATCAACCAAAACCAAAAGTGAAAGCTTTGAGATGCCATAAACTCCCCAAACAAGCTAAAGTCAGCTTGCCTTTCAGGAATCACTGGCCAAGAAGCAGAAGAGAAAGGTATCCAAAATTGGAAATGGAACCTCAAGCTGAAATCCTGTGCAATGTAGAAGAAAATCAGCAAGATGGGATCTGAAGAGTCTGACATGGGACACAAGAAATTGTCCTTCTTACCACTCGTCTAAGGTGATGCCCTGGAAGGATTCAGTGTATTAGACAAAAGCCACTAAAAAGACCATAGTTACTAGAATTTAATTCCCACACGTGTCCAAAACCAGGGTGATAACCCTGTCTTTGCTTGTGCTGTTGGCACTGCCTTTAACCTCATGTCCATTACTAGGCAAGTTTTAGAAAAGCAGAATGACTGTACATATTGAAAGGGATGAGAGAAATGGAAAAACAGCAGAAACAATGGGGAAATAAGACCTGTTTGAGTCCAGAGAATCAACAAGAATAAGAACAAGACCAAAGTCTTTCAATATCTTTAATGTTGCCACCTTGATACAGCTTTTGCCTCATGCACAGTCCTAAATCTCCTCTGAAAAAACCCAAACTGCAAAGGACTTGCAGTTCATTGTCCTGCTCTTTTATCTCCAGTCCTTCATGCTGCCATAGAAAGAGCCAAGAGAGCAAGGCACCAGGGTCCCTTTACTCCTTTCTTTCCTATGTCACACATCTTAGAAATAATCAGCTGCAGGAAAACTGAACCAACTGATGTGATGTAAGTGTGTGACCATTATTGCATGCACTGATTTATCTCTGTGTGATATCCTAATGATATACTGAATCTGGTTACTATGACACCAAAAAGTCACAGCTGGTTCGACAAATTCACAGAGGTCAGGGGCAGACACAGGGGCAGAACAATCTGAAAATCAGTTTGTTGTAAGCATATCTGGCGTTGTGCTTCTGTTATCCAGAAAAATTTCAGCATTGATTCAGATCCTGTGCTGATCTTTGCTATAAGGAGAAGCAAATAGACTGAACAAGAGAATTGTCCATGTATCAATGTCTCAAACCTTTTCTCTCTCCCTTTTTCTGCCAAGCCTATAAGAACACATTCAGCTCCCACCAGGCCTGACTCAATCCTTCTTCTTTCCAGGAAACATAAAAGTGCAGCTTTCTGTATATTGGCCAAAGGAGAACTAGGAAATGAAGGAGACAGAGGGCAAAGGGAATGAGAAGGTTTTGATGAGAAAATAATGAAACACAAATGTCAGAGGGAGTAGCGACAGAGAAAACACCCACGAAGAGGAGAGGAGTTGAGGAGAGGTGGGAGGAAAATGTTGATGATAAGAGGAAGAGAGAGCAAAATGAAACAGAAAGGAGTCTCAGCAAATTTCCATAATGTAGCACTGATGAAGCCTTTTATGATTATAGACAGGGATTCTCAGAATGTTCCCTTGCAGGAAGTTTGCATACTCATATTTTAATAACTCTGAACACTTTCTCAGACTTAGTAAAAGTGGAAACTTTTCCTCTTAGTGCTGCATGCTCTAAATCTGGGCTACCCCTGTGCATCACCAAGCTCCAAGGAGCTGTATCACTGAGGTCTGCTCTGGGTGGACTGGCACATCAACTCCAGGTCCCTGCTGCCTCCAGAGAGTGTGACAGTCCTGTGCTGACACTGTTCTTCAGGAGAAACAGGCTAAGAAATGCACTGTGTCCTGCCAAAGAAATGGAGACACCGCTTTCATGATACCTTGTGGGACCTGGACACAGGTTGTTTTTTATCCAGCACCAGGTGGAAGCCTGAGATGATTCAACATGTGTGTGATGTAAAACTCCAGGGAAAATTGTGAGATTCTGGGCTATCTGAAGTAAAGCCAAATCTACAAGTCAGTATGACCTTAAACACTTCCAGAAATCTCAACTTGCACTTACTTTGAGTCCAGACTCAAGCACCAAGCCAGTGTGCAAACAGAGTAGGGATTATTGCTATTTGCATACCACCGGTTGTTTACCTGACTCTGTCCTCTCAGACTTGCTCGTTTTCTCAGACTGGATGTTTGGCTGCAACATTTCCTGAGATAAATCTATCATAAATAACAAAAAAGATTACAGTTGTCCCTGGATGAGTTTTTGAAAGGTGTACACCACCGTGCAATACCAGTGTCAAAAAAAAAAAGACTACCAGAGAAATCACCTCAGAGCAGGAAGGAAACTTCTGAACTCCACAGAGTGATTTCACCAGAGCCTTCTGTCTGAAATACATTTTGCTTGTGCAGAATAAATCCATCTCAGCCACATCAAGAGAACTGACACCAATGGTTTAGTCTCTCCGAATCCTATGAAGTGACAAGAAGTAGTCTCTGATCCCTTCAGGGCCTCTGCTGCAGACTTCAGGGGGAGGACTCTCCAGTGGATTCCCCTCAAAATTGCATGAGCAGTAGTTGTATCCCCAGTCCAGGTTCACCAGCTCCCCAAAGGCTGCTGGAAGGGACTGTAGCTGGTTGTTTCCCAACCAAAGTGTGCGCAGATTCCTTAAAACACAGACATCCTCAGGAAGGCTCTCCAGTGAGTTGAAAAGCAATAGCAATGTTTCCAGTTTCTCCAGATGCCGAATGCTGGAGGGGATTGTACCTATTTTGTTGTCACTCACATCCAGAAAGGTGAGGCTCCTCAGCTGGCAGAGGGGTACAGGCAGCTCAGTCAGGCTGTTGTTGGCCAGGTGGAGGCTATGCAGCCTTTGAAGTGCCCCTATTTCTGCAGGCAGGGAGCTCAGGTGGTTGTTGCTCAGAGTGAGCCTCTCCAAGCAACTCAAAGTGCCAATTTCAGCAGGGATTTTCTTCAAGTTGTTGGAGTCCACGTAGAGGCAGGTGAGGTTCCTCAGGCAGCTGATCTCCTGGGGGAGCAGCTCCATCCGGTACCTCAGGCAGCTCTCTCGTTCTGGGCTCATCTCCAGGACCTGCAGTTGGTCCAAGCCAAAGACCTGTGGGGGGACTGACACCAGCTCTCTGCCTGAGATCTTGAGCTTCTTCTTCCCTTTGTACTTTGGATCATGCTCTGCGAGGTACCTCCAGAGTGGATCAGGACCTGGACAGACACACTGGAGAGAGGTGACTGCATCCATGTCCCATCAGAACAGTGGCTGGTTGAACGGAGACAGACAGTGACGATCCCTTGCATGTTCCACAGGAAACCTCTGAGGTTCTTGGGGATTCAAGATCCTCTGTCAGCTTTCCGCTCTGCCGAGCACGTTACTAACACACATGCAGAGTGTTTGGGTTGCCCAGGTACATCCCACTGAGTAAACACTTGGTGCTCTCACATGATCAGGTGTTTCCCTCCCAGCTCTGCAGTGTACACAAAACCCAGCTCCTGGGCTGTGATGTGGCCTCTCACGGCTGCAGCCAGTGAGCTGGTGGCACGTGTCTGTCAGTGTTCAGAAACTGAAACAGCAGTGCTCTGCCTCTGCTTTTCAGAAGGTGGGTTCAAATCTCTGCTTGTGTGTAGCTCTCCCCTTCTGGAAGCATCAAAGGTGCCATTGCTGAAGATTTCACATTGGTTGGTCCCAAGGGATTACAATGGAAACAGCAAGGCAGGATGGATAAGGCACTCCGTAAATGGGACAAGAACATGGTAAACAGAACAAGAGCAAGACAGTCATAGCTGGTGGCCTAGGAACTGGGAACCATGAGAATATCCTGTCCTCAGGTCAGTTTGTGCCTTTAACATTCAGCAAACCCAGTAAAGAATCAGTTTTGAAATCTGAAAGTCCTTCTCCCTCCTGTTTAATGTATGAACTCCTGCACCATGGAGATATTGTCTTTCTTGTGCTGCACTTGCTCTGGCATATTTAAAAACAATTTTTTATTCCTTGCTGTCATAGCTTTTATAGGAGATGTGTAAAATGCCAGGTTTATCCCAAGCCACTCAGCACAGCATGTGATGTAGAGAGCAGGCCATTTTCTGGAAGGAGAAAATTGTGGGTTTGAAGCCTCAGGCTGAGAAAGCCAACCTCTTTTACTTCATCCTCAAGTCCTTAAGGCTTTCAGCTAAAAAATGTTTAGGATCCCCATTTCAAACACTTCTCAAGGAGAGACATATCCACAGCATCCCTCAGGCTATCAGAGATAGAAGACAATGTGTTAGAGGTATGGTCTAAGCAGGTTTACCAAGTCAGGCCTTGTGAAGGTGGGAGCACAGCAGCTTTTCTCTCCCAGCCTGCTCAGTTCTGATCTCCTCAGCCCAGGATAGTCCTGAGTTTGCTAGAACTTGTGTCACAGGAGAGTGTGTGGCTGCACAGATGGGTGTTGAGCACCAGTAGCTCTCTATTCAGACAATGCTGGCAAGAAGATTTGTAGATTATTGCTCAACTGTATGAACTTGCATTCTAGATTGTAGAGGGTTTTCTTTAATTGAGTTTCACCCTGAAACACAGATTTTTGGGTCTGGTACATAGCAGCTGTAACCCTTGACTTGGATTCAGAGTGCAAATACCAAAACCATATTGAAATCAAACCTGGAATTTCTTTCAGATAAATTTTCAGTATTTGTAAGAGAAAGCTGTCTCACATGTCTAGTATCCAGCAGTGTGTGAGGCTGCTTGGGCCTTATAGGCTCCTGGGACAGAATCATGGAGTCACAGAATATGTTGGGTTGAAGGGACCTTAAATATCATCTACTTCCAACTCCTTTGCCATGGGCAGGGATGCCACCCACTAGATCAGGTTGCTCAGGGCCCCATCCAACTTGGCCTTGAACACTTACAGGGGTAGATTTTACTCAAAAAAGATTCAGCAGAACTCATGAAAGTCTAATAATTTTTCAAAAGCAAAAATGGGTACAATAACTTGGAAATATCCACACATCAGAGATGAATACAGCAGCCAAGAGAAAGTGAGATTTTCACTTGCAGGGGAAGGTTGCTTCCTAACAGACCTCACAAATAACCATAAAAATAAGACTCAGTGTTAAACTCAACTCTCATCAAGAAAGTGCTGAAGAAGTTATTGCACTGACAGTAATTTCAGACTTGGATGAAAACCATCCCCCACATTGCTAGGGGGAAAAATGTGTTTCTAAGAACACATTGTCAAATACATCTGTCCTGTGAAATAAACCAAATTGCTGTGTGTGCTGCCTTCTACTTAAACACGCTTTTCTCTTCAAATCCAAACCTGAGTCTTTCAGACAGCATGTCATGCAGAGCCAAAGCTGTGGTCAAAAAGAAGTTTTTGTGATGTTTGGCACTGTTCTCTTGTTACACTTTTTTACACCTGGAGTTTGACCCAAGGTGGCAGGTTCCTCTCTGCTCCATCTTGCAGGACATCCTTCTGATGCTGATAGGTGGCTCATCAGAAATGTCAGAATATGATTAACGTCCCTCTGTCAAATTGTTCCCTTGTGCTTTCTACATAAAGTTCATGATATAAAATGTAAAGTAGAAAGAAAGAGCCCATATTTTCAACACATAATTCCCTGCAGACCCAGCAGGATATTCTAATTCTTAGTTCAGACAAACTCCAACAGCTTTGCCAGCATCAATATTGTTGAGTCAAGCCACACAAGGTGTTCAGATGTTAGCCCTTACAGCAAAAATCTGCTTTGTAAAACAACTACAAAACCCAGTCTCCTGTTCATTATGTCTTTATGCTTTTCTCATCAGTTGTTCCAATTTCACAAGTCAGAAGACAAAAATCCATGTTTGTGACATTCAGGTTTAAATCAAATCAATGAAGCTAAGCAGGCTTTTTCTTAATTCAACTTCACCATTTACAAATATATTCTATGGTTCTATGTTCTGTGACTGTGAACCTTACTGTGAGAGACTGAGTATGGTATTCAAAAAAAAAACTTACATCATTTGACATGATGCATAATATCCCCTGGGGTCACCCACTTAAGCTCTGGAAAGGCATCCCTTGGTCCTACACACCTGCCAGTCCCTGTCAGTGTCTCTGGCTCAAAGGCATTGTGGATGGTGATAGCCTGCTATGCATAGGTATCAGATCCTGCTCCAGAAGGATTTCATGCCAAAATGAAATCTTTATCAGAGCAGGGTTTGGCCAGTTTCCACATTAAAAGATTGAGCCATTGGTAAACTCTATTTTACTTTTTTTTTGTTTTGTTTTGTGTTTGTTTGTTTTTTAATATAATTTTATATATATATATATTTAATATCTTTTTAATTGCCCAGAATGTAAAATCTGTGCTTGTCTCCCCACTAGTTTTGTGGTCAGAGCACAGAGTTTGGGCTTAGCTGCTAGAGCATTTTTATTGTCTCTCTGGAAAAAACCAAACAAACAAACAAACCCACCAAAAACAAACAAACAAAAACAAACAAACAAAAAACCCAAAACAAAACAAAAAAAGAAACAAAAAAAGAAACAAAAAAACCCAAAAAAACCAACCAAACAAACAAAAAAAACCAAACAAAAAAACCAAAACAAAAAAAACCCACAGGCATTTGATATAGCTTCCAAGAAGCAGCTAATTCAAAACTGTTTAGAAAACAAGTAGAAATTCTTAAATAATTTAACAAAAAAAAGAGGTATTTTCCCCAAATGATCTGATTGCTTTGTTCTGTCTTTGTAATTTATTGATTTGACAGGCAACAAATTGAATGACATAATGGTCTGTTTTTTATAATTGTAATAATTTACACATAATATATATATAAAAAAACCACCAGCAACTGACAGTAGTGCCATAAATCCCATGTGTACCTTTTAAAAATGTAAATAATATATTGCCTGGCTCTCTAATGCAATTTTAACAGTATATCCTCTCTTACCACAGGACCAAATCAAAATCCAACAAAAAAAAATTAACCTATTCCTGGGTTTAAACTCAGTGAGCAGATCTTAATGGTGATTTGCTAACCACTTGGTTGCAGAGACGGGAACACTAACATGCCAAAGCCACAGCTGTCCCTTGTTCAAGAGCAGTCAGGAGAGAGAGCCATCAGCACCATCTCTGCCCTACCTGCCACCCCCTGCCTGTATGGTCACCTTACACAGTGCTGGACAGACAATACACACACCATCACCTGCTCAGGCACAGACCCATCTGCACCTTCTGGAGGGCAGCTTCTGACCATGCCCAGGGCTGTACTTGCTGCCCAGATGGCAGACCTGATTTGGAAAATGACCTCAGGCCACCTTTCCAAAGACCGCAAACACGCACAAAATGACTGAGGCAAAAACTGTGGCAGTTTTCGAAATCCTACAAATACACCCCCCTCTCTTACCTGTTGTTGCAGGTGACTTTTTAGGCACATTCACATAGGGCTTGCTTCTGTAAGAGGTGGCAGCTCTAGAAACCTCCCTCTGATGACTATGCCCTGAAAACTGTGTGGCTACAAACATGAATCTTGATCTGGGTCTGCAGCTCGTGTCTCGTACTCTGCTCATTAGCAACAGATTCTGCTTAGTAAATGTCATTTAACTGGCTGGAGAGAAAACAAGGAAAAGAAAAAAAAACAAGAAAAAGCAGGGAAATGGCACCCACTGAATTCAGGACACGGAGACAATCTGGGGTGTCTCCAGGAACAGACTGAACAGATAGCCATATGCTAGGGAATATGCTGGAGCAAATGGAATTAGGTTGTGCCCCCTTTACTGGGTGGAGAATTTGCAGAGATGTAGTCTATGCCTAACCCAAGCAGACATGTGTCCCTTGTGCTCCTAATACAGGATCTTGGAAATGGCTCCATCAGACATTCAAATGAAAAGGGCCTTCAAAACAACCCCTTAGATCTCCTTCAGCTGGATGACATCGCACCGTCTCACCTGCTGGGGATTGCACTAAATGACCCCTAAAGGTCCTTTCCAACACAAATTATTCTATGATCTCACAAGACTTAAAGACCCTGAAATTTCTTTAACAGAACATCGTTATGTATCTTCCCTTCACATGATGCACCAAAATGTATTGAAATCTATCTCATGCATGACACATGCAGACACACATGATGAGAGAAAATCTTTAGTGACTAAGGAGTCACCATCATGATAGGATTTACATGCCACATTAGCATGGCCCAGTTAAGATGTGTGGCCTCCATAACACCTGCTCACTGCCATCACATTTACCCAAAATGATGTCTCATCCCATGCTGGGAGGTGT